GCGATGGCGGCGAACATCACTTTGGGATCCACGCGAACCGATTTGATCATCACCGGCACCATTAGCTTCCGGAAGGGCGCCGAGAATATCATCGACTGCAGCATCGCGTCCAAGAATGTGATGAACAGTCCGTTCCACTCGCACTCACCCACCAGTTCGCTGAAGTTATTGGTGCCGATGCGGCGCAACCGGCGAAACATCGGCCCGTAATCGTAACCCATTATCCGCAGCTCTTTGTAGATGTCATCCGTGGTCAACGAGTACTCGTACTCATTCAGGCGGTTCTCGTGCACATGGATCAGTGTCTGCGCGTACAGACCGTCCTCCGGCAGTAGTCGCACTTTACCCACACAACACACATTGCCGCTCTCCAGTATCACGAAATCACCTACATGGTTTGTGAGCAATTAAGGAATTCATTTTGGTGTTTAACATTTTAAAATTAATTCAAAATGTTTTGATGTATGATTAGTAATAATTTGATTGATTACATGTGTATAGTTTTGAATTGAGAGAGTAAATAACAACTTTAGTCATGAATAAGAAATACAAATTCAAGGATTAAGTGATAAGGGATTAAATGATTAGTGAGTGATTAGGGGAGCAATAGGGAAAAATATCTGATGAAATATTATTCTAACATTAGTAAAAATACATAAATCACATTAATACAGTATTACCGTATTACCCCGCTTATAAGTGCATGCACTTATAAGTGAATTTCACATATTTTGTATGTCACCAAAACTACCGCACCTATATCCGGATATAAGTGCACCCTTTGTGTAAAAATCACATATAAGTGCACCAATATTTATTTGTCAAAATTATTTAATAAATTAATGGGTGGATGACACATTTTTTAATAATTTAATGTAAATCTTCATTGTAATTTCTATCTTTGTTTTATCAAACTTTGATCACTGATTTTTTCATTTATATCCATTTATTCACTGATTATTTGAATTGATTCATTAGTGATGATTCATCACCTGAAGACATGTTCATTATATGAGATATTTTACACGAATGTACTCATTATTCATGATGCTCATAAATAGATAAGAAAATACATAAAGATTTTAAACATTTAAAGTAACATTTTAGAGTTCAAAGTTTAATAATAAGTCATTCGACTTTCATTTCTAGGTATATGTAAATTTCAGTTGAAAGTCAAAAATGTGCCAAAAACTACCGCACCTATATCATTTTAAACATTTAAAGTAACATTTTAGAGTTCAAAGTTTAATAATAAGTCATTCGACTTTCATTTCTAGGTATATGTAAATTTCAGTTGAAAGTCAAAAATGTGCCAAAAACTACCGCACCTATATCTGGATATAGGTGCACCCCTTGTGTGAAAACTCACTTATAAGTGCATGCACCTATAAGCGGGGTAATACGGTAATAATACTTTACTACAATGTATACAATGTAAAGTTTATGTACTATTCAATGAGGGAACTGTAAAATGAGTGAAAATAATTACATGTGTTTTGAAAGTATCTGACTTTGAGTCGTGAGGGCGAGGCCTCCGAGAGGAAGACGGGTCGTCTGATCTGCACGTCTTCGAACTGGACGGGCGTGTGATTCCACGTGCGGCCGACGTAACTGGAGAAGAGCCTCCACGCCAGCATCAGGTAACCCGTGGCCGGGAATATGACATTACCGTCGACCGCGTGGTCGGCGTAGTAACCCTGTTCGTTGTAACCTATATTAATGCTCATATTCATATCGGAAGCGGTGGTTCGGGTAAAATAATCGGGGTATTTCTTATAGAAAAAGGACTGATGATGATCCCAACGCATGAGCGAACCGATAGACTGAGTATTCCTGGCCACCGGCCACTCCACCCGTGGGTATAGATTCTCGATGGCCGGGTTGAGGCCCAGTTCGTACAGTTTGGCCACACCTGACAAAAACATATCCAAATTGGTATCGTTTGAGTCCTTTTTGATAAGCGAGAGGTAATCGCATGAATCGAGTGTCTCTTTCACTACTTTGCCGAACACAGAGTGGGGACCCATCTCTACCACAATGGCATCCGCAGGCAATTCCTTGAATTTGTCGTAAAAGTGGACCGGATTTAGCAAATTGTGCACAAAATATTCGGCCGACGCGTACAGTAGGGCTTCGTTAGAGGGCTCGACGTCTAAGACAGAAGTGGACACCCATTTCCGGGACCGGCGCTCAGGTTTAGGCATATATTTCTTAATCTTGTCGATCATTGGTTTGGCGGAGGTTTGCAAGTATTCCGAGTGATAAGGAATACCACTGCTCTCCAGTTGCCGACAGAATACGCCCTTTGCCTTCACTTTTTCAATCATTTGCTCCATCTCTTTGAGTGGACCTGTTATGTGATCACGTGTTTGTATGTGAGTTAATTTTAACAAATTTATCATATTCATATTTCATAGGTTATTACCAGAAATGACAACACTATCTCTAGCGTTATTACAGACAACATAAACCCCTTTTGGACACAGTCTGCGGGTCTCAGCTCTGGAGAGGCCGACGACAGCCATCAATCCTTTTGGTATTTTCTTATCATTTTCAGTGACGGCTCCCCTGAAGTACGTGACAACCATTGCATCCCTTGTGGTGAGACACCCGTCAGCGTAAGCACAGGCTATCTCTCCAAACGAGTGGCCAATTATACCGTCGGGTGTGATG